CCTTCCTTCCTTCCTTCCTTCCTTCCTTCCTTCCTTCCTTCTCTCTTTTCCTGTCTTTCTTGCTTCCGCCTCTCTCTTTTTCCTTCCTTCCTTCCTTCCCGTCCTCCCCCTCTCAGTCAAGAGAGGTTTTGAGAAGGATTGCCATTTCTGAGTAGTTTTTGAATAAGTCTAAAGCGCTGTGTTAATAATCTGCACAACTGGATAAAAGGAATATTGGTGGGTGACAGCATTCTGTTAATTGGCCACAGAGCTGCCTTAAGAACTAACATACCTTTGCTTATCGGACCAGAAGTTGGACCAGAACGACAGCGACCCTGATGGGCCTTTCAAAGTAAGTGAGATATTTAAGGAGTTCCCCACCCTCAGTGAATTTCCATGGCTAAGCAGGGATTCAAACCCAGGCCTCCTGAGTGCTAGTCCGTCACTCTATCCATTACGTTACACTGGATATCATTAGTTGTGTTTAATAGGACACTTTTGAGATGCTGGGAAGAGACTCAACATAAGACAAGCTGGATTTCACATCCGAGAGAGAAAGAGAAGGAGGGAGAAGGAGAGGAAATCAGTGAATTTCCGTGGCTAAGCAGGGATTCAAACCCAGGCCTCCTGAGTGCTAGTCCGTCACTCTATCCATTACGTTACACTGGATATCATTAGTTGTGTTTAATAGGACACTTTTGAGATGCTGGGAAGAGACTCAACATAAGACAAGCTGGATTTCACATCCGAGAGAGAAAGAGAAGGAGGGAGAAGGAGAGGAAGGGAAACGTGAGAACTTTCACACATTCATATCGACTGGAAGTTAGGTTTTAAAGTCCTTCAACGGGGAGACTGTTCAAGTCATACGTCCCGCTGTTTTCCTCTTGAAGGAGCAGCTTCTCGATGGTCAGCGTGCTCATCTCCTTCCTCGCGTCCTCCAGCTCGTGGGGGGTGGAATCGGAGACGGAAAGAGGAAGAGACACAAGCTGGGGGGCGGTGAGGGTGGTCGGAGCTGGCTGGTACTGTAAAGAAGGTGCCGGAAGGGCTGATACGGGCTGAGTCCATGGGAAGTAGCTCAGAGGAGCTTGTTGGTCCATCATATCCAAGTGGGAGACAACAGCCGGCGAGGAGGTGGGCCTGGCCTGTTTGAACAAAACACACGGAGCCGTCAGCTGGGTTTCTTCCTGGGTTTTGCAAATATTTGCAGTCGTGGGGCCAAATTAAAGGTTAAAGGTAGCTTTTCATTAGAAGAGAGAATTCCTTAAGTGCTCAGAACAGGTGACTGTCCTAGCAGGAGGTTTGCAACCACCACCACCCCCGGAGCTTGCAGATTTGCTAGCTGTGTTTTGTCACTGGCCCCTCATGGATAAGCCTGGGCTTCGGTTGCAAAGCGTCGTTGCTTAGCCACAAAAGCCTGCTGAAATTCCATCTCAGGGACGGCAACAGATTTCAGCTGCTAATGACCAGCTCTCTGTAATGTGTAGTTTGACCTTCCTTCACACATTTATTTATTTATTTTTATTTACTGGCTACCTTTCAACGATAAGGTTCCCCAAGCTGTACTTATAAACAACTGGCATTAAAATAATGTTTAAGTACAAATCAAAACAATCATGCAGAGACAGTCAAATACACAGAGGAAGAGAGCCACAGCTAATAATTAGTGCGGTGCTTCAGACGCTGAATCAGGATCTTACTTTATCTTCCCCGTCTAATCTGCCTCACAGGATGGAAAGTTAAGAAAAGGGTTTGGGGACTAAGTGATGCGAAGTATAGCAAAGAGCCAATGGTACTCACAAGTTTACAGAAATTAGAAGATAGGGAGCTGAGCAGGTTGTTTGCTGTTTTATGTTTTTGAGATCTACATGCAGATTGGTACTCTTAGACTTCTTCCTTCCTTCTCTTTGTGAGGTCACTTCCAGCTTCTAGCTCCTCCCTCCCAGTTTGATAAAACAGCAGGCCTACAAACATGCAAGCCAGCTCTAGGGGCTTCTTCCCCTACATTTAAGTGTTTTATCCCTCCTGCATTAATCACGAATGGGTTGCCTTAATATATATGCATTGTGAAAGGTGTGAAAGAACCTGATGGTTAACTGCATTGAAAAGACAGGTGCAAATAACGTTGTGAACATATCCCGCTGAAACCGACTGGGAAGAAAACTGAAATATATCATCCAGGCTCTCCCTCCTGATATTCAAATCCGATATTCGATATTCTGGGTAGTAAGACAGAACAATGCAATTTATGGCTCTCTTCAATTACAACAATGTGTGTGTGTGTGTGTGTGTGTGTGAGAGAGAGAGAATTGAAAAGGTGAGACTCCTTCCTTGGCCAAAGCCTCTACTTTAAGCTGATGACTGTATATACACCCTTCTTTTTGACTCTTTCCTTGCTTCTGACCAGCAGACAACGGTCTCTTACAAATATTTCTCTTTCCCACACGAAAAAGCTTACTTCGGCAGCAGCCTGCACTCAAAATCAACTCAAAGAGAAATGTGGGATCCTGAACATTATCCTCGTGATGGTTCTTTGGGAACTCTGGTGTGAACTTAACGGCCAAATATTCATTGAGCATTCCATGGTGTACTGGGTACTCAAAGCCACTGGGTTGCATTCCATGGTGTACTGGGTACTCAAAGCCACTTGATTTTAAGAGCTGGAATTCAATGGCTGAGCACCCAAGACCACCAGCATCCGGCAATATTCAATATTGCCTCTTCTGCTCTGACAGATGACATGCAAACTGGAGAAAAAGCTTTCACGTTTGCAGTGCGAATTTCAAATTCATATTCCCACCTTCAGTGTGAAAAGCAGGGCTGGGGAGATTGAGCCTGTAGCCTGCAAATGCTTTAGAATAATGGCTTAAATATAATGGGAAATGGAATACCTGTGCTGGCTAGAATATCCTGATCTGTCCCACAGCATTTTGATGACAATAAGAATGACAATGTGCCATCAAGTCAGTTCAACTTCTGGCAACCAATTCCAGGGTTTTCCAGATAGCGAGTACTCGGAAGTGCTTTACCATTCTCTTCCTCTGGGGGCGCCCTGGGACTCCTGCGCAGCTGGCCCAAGGCCACCCAGGCTGGCTCTTCTCCCAAAGAGACCCAGTGGGGGAATCGAACTCCCAACCTCTAGCTCTAAACCACTGAGCTATCCAACCGCCAGCAAAGCATTTTGCTACCTGACTCAAAACATAGACAAAATTATAAATTACAGCACTTTGCCATCATCAGAGTCATCCTTAATGTTGTATGTTTGGCGACTCTTCTGCATTAACATTCAGGAGCCAAGTTGTGTTCAATCACAATCCAGAGGGGATCAGAATTTTGAAACTCTGCTAAGCTGGCTCATTGTATTCCTTCTGCCTCTCTTTGTAGAACTGGCTAAGGTGTTCCTTAAAAAAAACCCCAAAATGTAATGTTACAAGCACTGCCAACTGTGCCCGATAGAGGCTCTTCAACCCTTATTGTGTAACAAACCAAGATATAAAAAAGAATTCGGTATATCTCACACATAAGCAGAAGAGCGGGTCCCGCTGGACGCATGGCAACTCACCGCAAAGTTTGTGATCAGCGGCTGGGACGCGTAAGTCAGCACCGAAGAAGTTCCCACAAGGGTGTAACTGGGGCCCACCGGCTGAACGTACATGTCGGTCGTATAAGGACAGGCGACGGCCTCGTGTGATGTATAATCCGGGTAGGCAGCCCACTGGGTTAAGGGCTGGAGAGAGGCTGGCGAGGGTTGGGCCAGCCAGCCTGAGTAGAGCGATCCATCCTCCATCACCGGCAGAGAAGACGGGAAAAAGTCCAGCTCGCTGCAGACCTGGCCTAAAATCGAAGGAGGAGACCAGGAAGGGGTGCTCAGAAAAGAGGACCAGAAATCAAAGCAGTGAACAAAGGCGTGGGTGGGTGGCTGGGAAATAAAATGAAATAAAAATATATTCTGAAACCCTTACCAGTGGGTGAGTAGGGTGGGAGTGGCTGATGGGGAAAAAACACCTAAAGGAAAATCAGAGTTTAACATCAGTTATTAAAGAAGAATAAAGCGCCATAGAAACTATTACTCAGAGACCAAGTAGGAAAGTAATGTCAATAATATTTCAGGCTGTGACCCATCAGCAAGCCAAGCCAATGAACCGGTTCTGTTCCGGAAATGAGGAAAGGAGCGTGGGATGTGAAAAGTGAGAAAGGTGAGGGTGGTTTTTTTTTAAACTACAGGTCCCAGAATCCCCCAGACAACATGGCCTGGGAGATTTGGGGGCTACAGTGGAAACAAGTCGCTTTTCCAAGTTCTGAGTGGTAGGGTCTCGCTACGTATTTCTATCCGGGAAGGACCCACTCTTTTTTCATTTCAGCTGCAGAGGAGCAGACGCCACGTGGCCTTTCCCCCGGCTCAAAACCCACGTGAAGTTTGATTAAAGCCTTCCTTTTGGGGTTTGTGCAGGGCCAGAGTAGACATCATAAGCCCGCTGTTTAGAGCTTAAAAGGAAAAAAAAACATCAGGGTTAAGACATGTGATTGAAGCTGTCTTTTGCCTTCTGAGAAATCAGACTTAGGTAGGAGGAACATGCTTAGGGCCGGAGAACAGTCCACAAATCAAAGCAAGCTAATTTAATTTTTTTTAGTTACAGGAGGCGAGAAAAACTTCGGCTGGGACACATACATGACCAGCACTGAAAGTATTTCTTCTCCTAAGTGTCGAGCTGTCTATAACACACAGTTGGGTCCTTCATCTGCCACCTCAAACCCTAGAATTAGAGTCGGCGACATGATGGAAACCAAGCCAATTTTGCCGCCCCGAGCGGTCCTCTCCTACCGTTGTGGCCGCCGCTGCCAGGTTCGCATTCTGAATGCCGCCGCGCTTCCTCTTGAGAAGTTCCTTCACCGGCTCTTTCACGCGGACGCCTTGGTAGGGGCGCGGTGGAGGCAGTTGCTCAGCTGCAGAAGCTAAGAAAACACGTGGATTATTATTTTTCTGCCTTTAAGAGGAAAAAAATATCTCCAAATACCTGTCCCAGAGTTGGCCTCCCAGACATCCCGTAAAAATAAATAAATAAATAATAGCAGGCCAGGGCGGGATTCTGCTTGTGGCAGTGGTGGGATGTCACAAAGCATTCCCAAGTGGCACTGATCCAGCGCTTGGAAAAGTTACTCCTCTCCCAGAAGCCTGCAGACCTTTAGTTGCCAGGCTACCCAAAGGATTCGGAGAACTTAGTCCAGAGAAGCAATTTTTTTCCCTAAAGTTGTAATCTGAAGGGGAGGAAGCAATGCCTAGCTTGAACCAAGCTTCACTAGGAGGCCGGAACCCATTCGTTTAAACCAAAGTTCAGCATTATGAGAAGTGAAACAGGGAGGGTGCTGAGAGTCCCTTTGTCGCGTGCAGAGTGCCAGCTCCATCGGCCAAAACTTGACCGTTGATCCTGGTGCGATTTCTCTGCCGATAAGAAGAGTTAGAGGCAACTCCTTTCAGCGGGACGATATCGATCTGTGAGATTCAGTGTTAAATCGTGAGCACTGAACGGCGTGTGAAAAACCTTCTCTAGACATCAGTTGCCGCGTCCCCTTTGCCATTCCTAAGATGATTACCCAGAACTGCTGGATAGCTCAGTGGTTTAGGAGACAGAGGTTGGGAGTTTGATTCCCCCACAGGGCCTCCTTGTCAAGGGGCTGGACTGGATGATCCAGAGAATCCAGCCCTGCAGTTCTTAAGATGATGATGATATTATTGTTATTATTATTATCGAATCAATAGAGCATGCAAGCGGGAAAGTGGGTTCATGGGTCTAGGTTCTACCCCTTTTCTATCATGTATTCCACAGACGGTACAGTTTTGTTTCATTTTAGACAAGGATGTTTTCCTCTCCTTCAAACTGAGAGAGCTCACCTCTCTCTCTCTCTCTCACCCCCCCTCGTAACTTTGAGGATGTATCATCCTACGATGGAAAGGCTCTAGTATTTTGGTTTTGGGGGAAAACTGAGGAGGCCGTGTTTGAGGCTGGTCGATCCAGGATGGCCAAAATGAAGCCAGGGACCTCACGCAGCCCTTTCGGATGCCATCGCCTCTGCCACTCCTGGGAACCCCCTCCACAAAATCCCATATCCGGCTCATGGAAGCCTCCAGGAGTGGCGGATTTGCAACAGAACTAAGCACAAATTCAAATTCAAATTTCCGCTCCTCCAAATTCACCCAAATGAAACAAAAAATGGGCTTTCTGCAACACTGAGTTTTGATTTTCCCCACCTTTGGAACTGTTGGGGAAGGTCAACGTGGCCCCTGAGGAGTCTCACAGGTGGACGTCTGGCCCAAATACGGCCCACAGCTGCCTCTCCAGGTCTCTCCTCACGGTGTGAGCGAACCCAGAAGAACGGTAGATTATGGACGCTGAGACAATGGGTTGTTAATAAATCCTCCCATGAATAATCTCGCTGGCAGCCGTCCTAAAAGCCGCGGCGAAGGGCGACGAGAGTGCATGAGTCACAAGGAAACCGGGTTCAGGCCTGCCTCTCAAACGGTTAAACGTGTCGCACGCAAACTCTCCGGTGGCAGCAAAGGGCCACCATATCAAAGCGAAGGAAATGAAGGAAATATTGATAAGCTCTGTTGATAGCCTAGCAACCTTTCTTCAGAGGCGAGAGTTTCTACATCCTAGCCGATATACAGACCCAGCGTTGCTGTATCTGCCCGGTAGAGTTAACTAAACAATTTCCCTGAGAAATCCCATTTCCCCCTATCTCTTTACCTTGATATCAAGGCACAAACTATTTGAACTATACAGAACGCAGAAAATGCACTCAGGCGGTAGCACCGAGGCCAAACGCAGAAGGATGCAGCTGAGATCCAGAGGGAAGGGGAGCAGGAGGAGGGCTTGGCCACGTCCTTCCCCGATGCTGAATGGATTCTCTTCACCAGGCATCGGAGGAAGGCTGGTTTCAAAGGGCGCCGAAAGGAGCACTTGGAAAAAATCATGGGTTTGGACCACACTCCCCAGATTCCTCAAGCCAGCCTTGGGAACACAAAGAGGAAAATCTAGATCTTCGCCTCTAAGAATGCTGTCGGGTCTTTGGGTCTGAGTCTCAAATTTGAATCCAGGTCTTTGGGACCAGATTCCAGGTCCCCAGCCCCATGTCTGAGTCCCCATGAAAAATAAGCTTTTTTTTTTCCCCAGGGGGGAAAAAAGGAAGGGTGGGTGGGTTTCTGAGTCACGGGCTGATTCTAAGTTGAGTCACTGGTGGCTCTTAAATCTAACTGGAATCCAACTAGCCTTGGGACTCAAGTCCCATTAGCCCCTATCCCACACATTAGCACATTAATTAAGGGGGAGCGTTAATGTGTGCTCCAAGACGGGTCTGTGGCTTAAGTGTCTAGCCAGCTGTAACTCTCTGGGTGTCCCCACCTTCTGATGGTGAGCCAGTCCCGGTAGGCTCCCTTCCTTTCTAATCCAACGTAAAGAAGCAGCAACTTTGTACGCTAGAGGCTATAAGTTCGGTTCCCAGGAGTGTCAAATAAATCTTGCATTTGACTCCGGAATCAGGGCCGCCTCGGGGAGTGTGGGCATTGTAGTTTGAAACCCTCCCAGCCCCAGGCTCTGCTTTCAGTTCTGTTCTGCACAGAATTCACCCAAACCCTGCAGCCCTGGAGGGTGCGAGAAAGCAAAAACCGGTTGATTTGCTCATCTCTACAGCGCGGTCGATACTTTCATTTCACTCCCATTTTGTCCAGAATTTTCCAAACTTTCCAGAAGTTGGGTCTTGGGGAAAGCAACCCTGACCGATCTGCCTTGCCTTATCAGAGAGGGCGAGCAGGTCCAGTTTTCATCACAGGTGCTGGAGAGATGCTGCCAAGAGTTGGCCATTCCAGGAGAAAGCAATGCATTGATTTGCATCTTAGATGCTGGAGTCAAGCTTTTTAATTCACTCTGGCTTTTCAATGAACAGCCAGATGGCGTACTGGGCTGGCTCTGTGTTTATATGTTGCTTTATCAATGGGTTTATCTGCTCTCTGAATTACTGTTTTACTTCTCGTCCCACTGGCGTTTCAACTGCTGCTCTGGCGCTTTTGCTTGCGTTTGTTCCTTAAACAACTCACCTTAAAAAGCCTGCCGATGATGATGCTGTTTAACTTAGTGTGGTAGTTGCCTATTTCAAAGTGGGAAGCCGTTTTGGGGAAAAAAACAACACAAAAATGGTGGTAGGCTGTTTGAGAATTTGCATTCAAAAGCAGTGTGTACCTTTTTGGAAAAGCTTAAAAAAATAATTTAAAACGATAAGATAAGGGGACAGCGAGGTGCAGTGGTTAGAGTGTTCCCCGAGAACTTGAGAATCAGGGAAGCCGGAAACCCAGCATTTGATGCTGGGCCAGTTGCCTTCCTCCTCTGCGAGAACTTGAGAATCCAGATTCGTATCTCAGCAGTTGATGCTGGGCCAGTTGCCTTCCTCCTCTCTCGATGGATCTAACTTGCACGAGTCCTGTGAAAACGAAGGCTATATGTATGTACTGTATAATGCCCCGAACTCACTGAAGGGCAAGCAGGGTATAAATGGACTCATGGTTCTCGACCTTCGCGCCATGGCACCCTGGGGTACCGCCAAGCCCAGCCAGGAAAGCTGTAGACCTGCTTCCTTCTCCCCCCCCAAAAAAAATATTGCATTAGGGGAGCCACAGTCCGGTGGCCAGTAAATCAAGGCAGCCACGAGTCAAAAAAAAGTTGGGGAGCCAGTGATTTAGAATAACTATAAAACTAACTGAAAGTTGCAGCTACAACAGAAAAAGAGGGACATTATCATTTGTTAAGTTGGAACTCCATGCCATCGTTTCTTTGTTATTAGAAAAGGGGATTAATTACAGCCAACTAGTCATCTATCAGGATCTACTGTCCAACCTCTGAACAGCCCTACCAGTTACATACACCCTCTCCGCCAGAATAATGGCCAGTCTCTGCGTTTCTGAGCATCGTGCGAGAGAGAGACGCATCTGGAGCTGACCCTTGGGACGACGTCGTACTTATGAGTGGAATTAAAACATCACATTTTTCATCTGCGAAAAGGAAGCACAGGATGTCCTAGGGATGTGGAGTACCTCTGGGGAGAACACCCTGCTTACGGGCAAAAGGGCAAGACACTGTCAAGGGAGATTGATGGGGGTGCTGTAGGATTTGGGGAAAATTTGGCTCCCAAGGGCACCGAGAAGGACGTGACCCTTCCATCTGGCTCCCTTCCCTGGGGCATGCTTCCTGCCCTTTGGTCTGGGGTGCCAAGCGCCCCTGCTGCCAGGGGAGAGAGAAGAGAGGAAGAAGCACTCAGCCGGGGAAGGATTTTGCTCTGTAGCCTGTCGGCATGGTCTAATGTCTTCCGGTCCCTTCTTTGACCCTTCCCAGGGGGGTGATCCCTATTACAGGAGAAGAAATGCTAGAAGAGGCATCTGAGCATGGGAGAATGGGAGCCCTTCTTGGCTGCGTTTGAAAGGGTGCTCATTTCAATGCACAAGGAATGTGACTCGCCATCAAGGCATCGGCTGCTAACTGGCCAGGGCAGTTCCTGCTTAGTATTTCTCTGCAAGGGGCCACTCCTTTTATGAAACCCTCCCACTCTTGAGTGCAGGGCTTAGAATCATGGAGTTGGAAGGGGCTCCCAGGCCACTGGGTCCACCCCCTTGTTCAAGGCAGGCATCCCAATCAAAGCAGATCGGACGAAGGGTAGTCCAGTTTTCTCTTGAAGGCCTCCAACATTGGAGGTCATTGGTCCCGTTGTCGTACTGCTCTAACAGTTGAGAAGTTTTTTCCTGATATTCGGCCGAAATCTGACTTCCTGGAACTTGAGCCCATGGTTACCTGTCCTGCGCTCTGGGACGATCGAGAACAGATCCTGCCCCTCCTCTGGAGGACTGTGACGAAGGGTAGTCCAGTTTTCACTTGAAGGCCCCCAACATTGGAGGTCATTGGTCCCGTTGT